TCCATTTGTGATAATGATATTTCAAATGGACAACCAAAATATTCCATTTGTGATAATGATATTTCAAATGGACAACCAAAATATTCCATTTGTGATAATGATATTTCAAATGGACAACCAAAATATTCCATTTGTGATAATGATATTTTAATGACAATCAAAATATTCCATTTGTGATTATAGCATTTCAATGACAATCGAAATATTCCATTTCTGATAATGATATTTCAATGACAACCAAAATATTCCATTTGTGATAATGATATTTTAATGACAATCAAAATATTCCATTTGTGATAATAATATTTTAATGACAATCAAATATTCCCTTTTTAAAAATGACATTTTAATGACAATCACAATATTCCATTTTTTAGAATGATATTTCAATGAGAATCGAAATATTCCATTTTTGAGAATAATTCATGAGAATTTTTTTTACAAATCAAGGATCATATTTAGAATATACTACTATAAAAATAACTTTAAAAAAAAAAATTTCCAAATGTCTATCTTTTTATTCTCAAACAATTTAACTGATATGTATTTGAAAAATAAATTCAAATTCATAAATTTTTTTTCTTCTTTTTTTTATCCCAAATTTTGATCATTTAAATCTGAAAATTATTCAATGACTACAAAGAATAATTTAGCAATAACTTGCAACAAAATAATTGCATAAATAATTAATTAATGGATAAATTAACTATGAAAAAAATTGGAAAAATTTAATATTTATTTAAAAAACGAAAAAATAAAATCATTTTTACTTCATTGATAATAATTATAAACATTTCAATAATTACAGATAAGAGAATTGGTCGTTGTTATGCATATGAAGAAGCCATTTTTAATGAGCTTACACATTTGAAGAAGATGCAATTACAGTATGGTAAAGTGAAAGAACAAATATTGGTCCGATCATTAATTAATAATTTCTGTAAAATGTACAATCTCAATCCGTCACAATTCAAATTTAATACTTTTCATGGATGGGAAAAATTTCTTTGTGGTTTGTTTTTCAAATATATCTTTTCTTCCTTTTTTTTTTTTTTAAAAAAGAAAGAATTAATTAATAAGTAATATTATGCTTTGTCAAAATTTATATTTGCGGAAAATATTGGTACGGAAGGAAAGTAATTTCATTCGCTAATCATTAATTAGCAAATTGTTCGTAAAGCGCAAAATTAATATCATTTAATTTTGCTAATTACTAATTAATTAATTATCTAGAAAAGATTTTATAGCACGTATGATATATTTTATCTAGAAAAAAAAAAAAAAAAAACTATTAGCCAGAATTCCTGAACAAAGTTTTTTAGCTATAGGTAGCATTAATCTCCCAGAAATTTCGTAATAAAAATTTCCAGAAATTTCCCGAAAATACTTTCTCAGAAATGTTTACTAATGTATGTATTCGAGTTTCCCGATATTTTCCACTATTGTAATGGCGCTTTTTTCAAATGTTATCACTATTGACAAATTTAATTATAGAAATAAAAATATCACATATGTTGGATGATTTTCCCGGTGTCTAAGTTTTCTTTTGGTGAATATGCAACGGGGAAATTTTGATTAATCAATAAAAGAAAATTTCATTATGCTTATAATAGCATGTTTTTTTCCGTTTAAGATTATCTTTCAGATCAATTGAAATTACTGTATTTGGAGGAACGGAATCGTATTTTCACTTCTCATCATTCCCGCTATTCCGCTACTAACAAGTAATATATATGCATCCATTATATTCTTGATTTATATAACAGGAAAAAAAAAAGCCGGAGTATTCAAATTTAATAAAAACATTGCTAAAATCTCATTCTGATTGATCAAGTGTATTAGCCGGATTTTTTTTTGAAAAAAAGAACCGGAATATTCAAATTTAATAAAAATATTGCTAAAATCTCATTCTGATTGATCAAGTGTATTAGCCGGATTTTTTTTTGAAAAAAAAGAACCGGAATATTCAAATTTAATAAAAATATTGCTAAAATCTCATTACTGATTGATCA